AAAAAAAAAAAAAAAAAAAACTAAACTAAATTAATTCTCACTTCTAGAAAAATTACAAAACTACGCTAAAATTTGGGTCCAGACAGGACCAAATATCTACGTAATCAATGCCAACAAATATTTCCGCTTGAACAGATAAAGAGACTGTTCTGGCTGGGCAAAGTGGCTCACACCTATAATCCCAGCACTTTGGGAGGCCGAGGTGGGTGGATCACCTAAGCTCAGAAATTCAAGACCAGCCAGGCCGGCTGGGAACAGTGGCTCACGCCTGTAAGCCAAACACTTTGGGAGGCCGAGACGGATAGATCACTTGAGGTCGGGCATTCAAGACCAGCCTGACCAACATGGAGAAACCCCATCTCTACTAAAAATACAAAATTAACCAGGCATGGTGGTGCATGCCTGTAATCCCAGCTACTTGGGAGGATGAGGCAGGAGAATCGCTTGAACCTGGGAGGCAGAGGTTGTGGTGAGCCGAGATTATGCCATTGCACTCCAGCCTGGGCAACAAGAGCGAGACTCCGTCTCAAAAAAAAGACAAACCAGTCTAGCCAACATGGTGAAACCCCGTCTCTACCAAAATACAAAAATTAGCCGGGCGTGGTGGCAGGCACCTGTAATTCCAGCAACTTGAGAGGCTGAGGCAGAATTGCTTGAACCCAGAAGGTTGACGTCACAGTGAGCCAAGATCGCGCCACTCCAGCCTGGGCAACAGAGTAAGACTCTGTATCAAAAGAAAGAAAAAAGAAAAACAGACTGTTCTACGAATATTAATTTAGAAACCTAACTCATTCACTTTCTAAATCCTTATTTTTATGTAACTGAATTGATAAAGACAGAAGGCAGCCAAACAAAGCCATTCCAACAGTTTCCAAAATTTGCATTCCACAGGATTGTGAGTTCACACTAAAAGCCTGCTGGGCTTGCACTGTCTCCCTCGTGGTGGCTGAAATGGGGAGAGGCTTCCCAACACCTGCAAAGGCTACCTGAGTCTCCCAGGTAGGTCACAACCCCTTGGGCCTGCTGTGGCTTCCTGGCAACTACCACCCAGGTCACCCACTGAGGCCCTCCAGCACTCAGCCTGGGCAGCAAGCCCCTCACCAACTAGCAGACTGCACTGCCTCTGCACTCACCTGTTGCCTGGACCATTGCTTTCCAGCAATTCTATATTGTGACTTTTATGAGATTACCCAGTCTCTTTAGTCCCATCAGAAGGACTCAGGGGAGGCCATATAAATTACTCATTCTTAGTTTAAAACATAAAAACTAAGCCTTAAAATTGAAATACTGGCCGGGCACAGTGACTCACGCCTGTAATTCCAGCACTTTGGGAGGCTAAGGTGAGTGGATCACCTGAGGTCGTGAGTTCGAGACCAGGCCTGACCAACATGGAGAAACCCCGTCTCTACTAAAAACACAAAATTAGTTGGCCGTGATGGCACATGCCTGTAAACCCAGCTACTTAGAAGGTTGAGGCAGGAAATCGCTTGAACCCGGGAGGCAGAGGTTATGGCACTGAACTCCAGCTTGGGCAACAGAGCGAGACTCTGTCTCAAAAAATAAATAAATAAACAAATTTAAAAAGTTGAAATACTTAGAAAACATAATTCAAGACAATTTAATATGCAAACTTTCCAATTATTCCTAAAGATTCACAATCAGGCCAGGTGCAGTGGCTCACGCCTGTAATCCTAGCACTTTGGGAGGGGGAGGCCGAGGCAAGAGGATCACCTGAGCTCAGGAGTCTGAGACCAGCCTGGGCAACTTGGAGAGACCTCATCTCTTAAAAAGGAAAAAAAAAAAAGATTCATGACCGGGCACAGTGGCTCACACCTGTAATTCCAGTACTTTGGGAGGCTGAGGCGGGTGGATCACAAGGTCAGGAGATTGAGACCAGCCTGGCCAATATGGTGAAACCCCGTCTCTACTAAAAATACAAAAATTAGCTGGAAGTAGTGGCACGCACCTGTAGTCCCAGCTACTCTGGAGGCTGAGGCAGAAGAATTGCTTGAACCAGGGAGGCAGAGGTTGCAGTGAGCCGAGATCGCGAGATTCCATCTCAAAAACAAAAAAAAAAAATTCAAAATCGCAAAAACCATATATGATATCGTCTATATTGAAAAAAAAAAAAAAAAGAGGTTGAAAAACATCAAACAGCCCGCCATCTTGGCTCCTGTGGAGGCCTGCTGGGAACAGGACTTCTAAAAGGAACTACGTCTGGAAGGCTGTGGTCCGAGGCCATTTTTGCCGGCTATAAGCGGGGTCTCCGGAACCAAAGGGAGCACACAGCTCTTCTTAAAATTGAAGGTGTTTATGCCCGAGATGAAACAGAATTCTATTTGGGCAAGAGATGCGCTTATGTATACAAAGCAAAGAACAACACAGTGACTCCAGGCGGCAAACCAAATAAAACCAGAGTCATCTGGGGAAAGGTAACTCGGGCCCATGGAAACAGTGTCATGGTTCGTGCCAAATTCCGAAGCAGTCTTCCTGCTAAGGCCATTGGTCACAGAATCCGAGTGATGCTGTACCCCTCAAGGATTTAAACTAACGAAAAATCAATAAATAAACGTGGATTTGTGCTCTTGAAAAAAAAAAAAGAAAAACATCAAACAAAATAATCTGACCATCCTTGCTTTTTTCATTATTAATGAATGCAAGAAATACTATTTTAGAGAATTATGGCAATTTGCACATTTTTTGTTAACTATGTGTCAAAAAAAAAAACCTGAGGGAAATGAATTTGACATATGCCATATGCAATCTGTGACACTGAAACTTGCAAAAGTATTTGTTGATCATGTATTCCCTCAATCCTGATACCAATACACAGCTTCCTTGACATGAAAATACATCTAAATGTATTTTCAGTATCTACAAAATGAAATAGGAAACCATAAATCCAAACTGATAAGTTGACAGTTTGACAAGTTTAATTTCCCCAGAGTCTCAAATATTTAACCAACTTATAGTAAAATTAAATACAATCATGATATAAGCACAAAGTAAAGTCATAGTCTGTTACCCAACATTTTTCCTTGATTTACAACACATGGGGATTTTTTTTGGTAGTTCTTTTTTTTTTTTCTTTTTGAGACGGAATTTCACTCTTGTTGCCCAGGCTGCAGTGCAATGGCACGATCTCAGCTCACTGCAACCTCCACCTCCCAGGTTCAAGCAATTCTCCTGCCTCAGCCTCCCAAGTAGCTGGGGTAACAGGCATGCACCACTATGCCTGGTTAATTTTTGTATTATTAGTAGAGACAGGGTTTCGTCATGTCGGCCAGGCTGGTCTCAAACACCTGACCTCAGGTGATCCACCCGCCTCAGCCTCCCAAAGTGTTATGATTATAGGCATGAGCCATCAGGCCCGGCCTAACACATGGTTTTAATAAATACATGACCAAACCCTTATTAATGTCCACAAAAATAAATTCTATCTAGACTACATTTTGTCTAATTCATAATTTTTCTTTGTTGTTAAATAGCAAAACAAATGTCTCCATTGATCCTTTCTCCATGTGCTTGCTCTTGGAGCAGAAGGAGGCACTGTCCATCTACATAAACTCCTTCAGTAGCATAACACTGACAGCTATCCCCATTGACAACTCTTCGAGTACTGACATCTTATTAAAAAGAACCTTCTTATTAAAAAAGTCTTGCATTTGCTTGGTTCTTTACTGTGCTTTAACATATATTACTTCATTTTCTTTTTTTTTTTTTTGAGACGGGAGTCTCTGCCGCCCGGGCTGGAGTGCAGTGGCCAGATCTCAGCTCACTGCAAGCTCCGCCTCCCGGGTTCACGCCATTCTCCTGCCTCAGCCTCCCAAGTAGCTGGGACTACAGGCGCCCACCACCTCGCCCGGCTAGTTTTTTGTATTTTTTAGTAGAGACGGGGTTTCACTGTGTTAGCCAGGATGGTCTCGATCTCCTGACCTCGTGATCCGCCCGTCTCGGCCTCCCAAAGTGCTGGGATTACAGGCTTGAGCCACTGCGCCCGGCCATTACTTCATTTTCATTCTTAAAAGTTCTCCACGATGTTAGCAGGCTGTGATTATTCCCATCTGAGAAATGATGAAACCAAGGCTCAGAAATGGAAATAAGTTTTCTAAGGTCAAACAGCAAATAAGTGCAATGAACTGACTACAAGTTTTGTATCCCAGGCCCAGATCCCAAATATAACTGACCTCTTTGCTAGGCTCTCCAGCTGTCAAAAAAAGAAAAGAGAAGAGAAGAGAAAAAGAAAAAAGTTCACACCAAGGCCCACTAAACAAGAAACAAATCTTCTCTCCACTAGGTAAAGAATTCTGATCAATTTTTCAGAAATGTAAAACATGTTATTTAAGATGTTCCAGAATGTGTGGGGAAAAAAAATAGCAAGCTTAGAAATCCTTTCTTAAGAAGCCTAAAATGAGTAACAAAACTTAAAAACGACCCAAGAAAACTGCAAACCAGCTTCATTTAAGAGTATTGATGAAAATTTCCTTTTTAAAATGAACAAACTCCAGGCCAGGTGCAGTGGCTCACGCCTGTAATTCCAGCACTTTGGGAGGCCGAGGTAGGTAGATCAACTGAGGTAAGGAGTTCGAGACCAGCCTGGTCAACAGGGTGAAACTCCACCTCTACTAAAAATACAAAAATTACCCAGGCGTGGTGGCGGGCACCTGTAGTCCCAGCTACTCAGGAGGTTGAGGCAGCAGAATTGCTTGAACCCGGGAGGCGGAGGTTGCAGTGAGCCGAGATTATATCACTGCCTGGGCAACAGAGAGAAACTCCATCTTTAAAAAAAAAAAAAAAGAAAGAAAAACAAAAAGTGCCAAGATCATGAAAATCAAGACCATGAAGATCAAGGAAAAAAAAAAATCAAGATCATGAAAATCCTTCTCAAATCCATATTTGAGATTGAAGGATGCTTAAAAGAACTAAAACAAGAATATACATTGCACAATTCTGCACTGAATACTTTTGCTACCAAGAACATTAATTACTATAAGAAACAGTGAAATATGAAGAATCTAAAAATTAGATGACAGTAATATATCAGTGTTAATTTCCTGATTTTGGTGGATATACCGCAGTTACAGAGAAAAATGTAGGAAATACACATTGAGTTATTGAGGAGTGAGGGAGCATGAAGACAACCATTTATGTAAAAAAAAAAATTTAAACATAAACATAAATTTATATAGAATATCTCTAAAATTCCCTAAAAGAAACCTTAACGGGGGTTTACCAGAAGAAGGGAACTAGCTGTCTAAAGGCTAAAAGTGAGAACCATGTACATTTTACCCTTTCATACCTTCTGAATTTTATATCTTGTTATACACCTTGTATTGCCTATTTGAAAATAATAAAAGAAATATTATATGTGTATACATAATACAAATTTAGAAAAATACATAAAAATTATCAAAAAAGGAAAATGAATTTACCTATCTCAGGGCCAGATTATTCCTGCTAACGAAAGCTGCCTGAATATTATAGACTGAGAGGTATCACTTTACGTGCCCAAATTTCAGGCAAGGATTCCTTTTTGAAAGTTAAATAGATGGCCGGGCACAGCAGCTCACGCCTATAATCCCAGCACTTTGGAAGGCTGAGGCGGACAGGTCATCTGAGGTCAGGAGTTCAAGACCAGCCTGGACAATATGGCCAAACCCCATTTCTACTAAAAACAGCAAAACCCCATCTCTACTAAAAATACAAAAATTAGCAAGGCATGGTGGCAGGCGCCTGTAGTCCCAGCTACTCAGGAGGCTGAGGCAGAAAAATCGCTTGAACCCGAGAGGCAGAGGTTGCAGTGAGCCGAGATCATGCCATTGCACTCCAGCCTGGGTGACAGAGCAAGACACCGTCTCAAAAAAAAAAAAAAAGAAAAAAGAAAAAAAGAAAGAAGTTAAATAAACTACCCGCCTACCTGCAAAAAAAAAAAAAACTTCAGTTCACCCATTCAAAGGGATGCCTGCGACCATTCAAAGTATCTGATGGACTCTCAAAACAGAACAGAATCAACAATATACTAATGATCAGACAAAGCATGTCCTCGGGACTGGAATTTAAACAAACATCTAGTACAAAAACGAATGAAAAGATGGAGGAAAAAAGGGAGCCAAATGAAGCAATGTATCTGCTTCTTTAACCTTGCTCAACAAGAGAAAGCGCACTGGCAGAGAAGAATGTTCTGATAAGCAGAGGTGAATGCTCAAGAGTCAGGGAAGCCCAGCAGGTTAAAAAAAAAAAAAAAAAAAAAATCCTGTTCAACACTACCCATCAGCTGGGGCCTACCTGTCACCAAACAATGTGTGATCATTTACATGCTTTCCCAGGGACCAAGACTTTCTAGAAAGAGCCCTAATGAGCAGACACAGCACTTTGGATCCAGGTTCTAGTTCTTCTTGCCAGTTCAACTAGGGAATGACGCTGAAGACATTAGTCTTCCAGTGCCTGACACTCTCGGTCAACTGCAAAAGTTCTTATTTCTAAATGTGCAATGCTAAAAGTGGGAGCAGGACTATGAACCCCCATAAAATGTCCCACAAAGAGACCCTCACCAAAGGGGGCCAACTGTCCTAACTCTGACAGTTCTAATTTCAAAAGTTTTCCCGTTCTTTCCCAGTAAACAGCAAATCAATACTTAAAATGATAGCTTTTTGTATGATTATCATATGTAAGTTGAGCATCTCCAATCCAAAAATCCGAAATACTCCAAAATCTGAAAGTTTTGAGGGCAAACATGACACTCAAAGTAAATGCTCATTTCAGATTTCAAATTCTCAGATTACAGATGCTCAACTGTAAATATAACGCAAATATTCCCAAATCTGAAAAAAATCCAAAATTCACGTATTTCAGATAAGGAATACTCAACCTACAGAATATATTTTCATATATTTTAAAATATTTACTTTGCCAGACACAGTGGCTCATGCCTATAATCCCAGCACTTTGGGAGGCTAAGGTGGGCGGATTACCAAGGTCAGGAGTTCGTGACTAGCCTGGCCAACATGGTGAAACCCCGTCTCTACTAAAAGTACAAAAATTAGCTTGGTGTGGTAGTGCACCCCTGTAGTACCAGCTACTCGGGAGACTGAGACAGGGGAATAACTTGAACCCAGGAGGTGAAGGTTGCAGTGAGCCAAGATCATGCCACTGCACTCCAGCCTCAGTGACAGAGCAAGACTCCATCCCCCTGAAAAAAAAAAGAAAAAGAAAATAGAGTACAGCACAGGTGGCAAAGTTTTGTGAAACTTTTGTTTCAATTTTATATACTTGTATGTGTTGGGTCATGATGGGAAAGATGTATTTCCCAATGTGTGTCCTGGTTTTACAGTTTCTATTTTTGCATATACGTAAAAGTCATTAATTTGTGCAACAAATGTTTGTTGAGCACCTATACTATAGAGCTGGTGAGGCAACAGTGTGCTATACAGAAGTAATAGAAGGGAATAAAAATACTTAAGTCTCTGCCCTTGTGGAATCTTTACAGGGTAGAAACAATCAAATAATCACATAAATACACGATTATAAACCACTAAGTGTTAGGGAAAAATATAGGGAATTAAGATAGATCATCATTAGGGAAGCTGAT